TTAAGGTTTTTTAAATTATTTGACTTATAAATGGAATCTCCCTATTTATTTGGACTGCTCTTAATCAATTTTTTTGTCTTTGGATATTTTCGAAGGAAGTTTTTTTTTTCGAGGACTGCTTCTCTTTAATTTATTGAACTTTCTGGAGGCCCTGATTCCTCCAACTGGCAATACTATTCATTTCTGTCCTCAAAAGATCTTTTTTTGAAAATTTCTTTTTAGAAATTGGCGTTAAAGGTATTTCCACATAGTCAATTATATGTTGATTTCTGTTTTTCAAAAGAGATGCTATTAAGATTATCGTAACAAAATTTCATCCAATCAAATAAGGCTGTCATAGAAGGTGGTAAAATCGAAAATTTTTTAAATTCTCTAGTCAATTATATTTATATATTTTAGTTTCCTATGAACGGTTAATAAACAAAAATTAGCTAAAAGTAATGAATTTTTTTTATAAAAAAATCAGATTTTTTTAAAACCGCAAATGTTATTTTTAGTTGCCATCCATTTGGAAACTTCATCTGTTTATTTTTCTTAAACGAACATGATTACTTTTTATCCATCTAACCATCCTGATTATTCAAGAAATCTTATTAAAGCAAAGTCATTTCAAGCATTAATCAACACCCACAGAGTTATCTGTTCTTAGATCCCATGATGCTTAACAAGCAATTTGATTCCACAAAGAACCTTTGCCAATGAAGCAACGTCCGAACTGTGCCTTTAACCTTTAGCACGCTGTTTTAAGCACTTCCTCGTTAACTGATATTCTTTTTCGGCTTCTCAATTTCAGTAAACTTTTGATAATTTCATGGCAAATTGATTTCTTGGTCATAATAGGATATTCAAACACATTATTTGATTCAAAACAAACTATTGTTCAAAACCAATATTCGAATCACCTTCAGGTTCTCCTAAAGGTATTGTACAGCAAAAGAAAGTCACATACAGAGTGATAAATATTAATGACAAGTCATATGCTGGCTTGAATAGTCATATAGATTCTTCCCGATGTCATAATTCCCAAGTAAGCATCAAACCAGAATAACACCATAACTATTTACTCCTGCCTCAGTAGCAAATCCAGTATCGCTGACAAAACTAACCTGGCTGTTGGTCTCGTAAAGGACCTTCAATCTGTTGTTAACTGGGGCAAGAAATGACTGGTAAAGTTTAATGCCTCAAAGACAAAACTACTCTCTTTTACCCACTACAGAGAATCCTCCCTGCCTCGCATTAGAATGACTGATACTCAACTCCATGAGAGCACCTCTTTGCGACTGATTGGTCTCACACTGTCCGCTGACCTGAGATAGAACAAATATATTGAATCAATAGCTTCATCTACCGCAAAAAAGTTGGTTCTCGGTATCGCGCCAAAAAATTTCTTTCGCCCGAGTCTATTCTTCAAATCTATAAGTCAACCATTCTCCCTTGCATGGAATACTGCAGCCATATATGGTCTGGAGCTTCCGCTGTTCTTCTTAAGGTCCTCGACAAAATCCAGAAACGGATATGCAATGTGGTTGACCCTGATCTGGCATCTCGTTTACAGTCGCTCTCTCACAGATGTACCGTTGCTTCCCTTTGTCTTTTCTACAAATACTTTCACGGTAACTGCTCCGACGAGCTACATTCGCTGGTTCCCAAACTGCATGAATTTAAACGTGCTACTAGGTCGGCATCTAAGTCCCACCCTTTCACTGTCGAAACGGTTAAATGTAGCCGTCTCTTCTACTCCAATAGCTTCATGTCTCGCACTTCCCGTCTGTGGAACTCCCTTCCTCTTACTTGCTTCCGTGATAGATATAATCTCCAAATATTCAAAGGCAATGTCAATCGACATCTCCAGATGCCTTGATCTATTACCTATCCTTCTCTTCATCTTTTCTTCTATCACACCACTTTACCCTGTCTGTAAACACTTGCGTGTTAGTGGCACTCTGGCCTTGCTTGGGGTGAAATGCTTTAAAAAAAAAGAAGATGTTTTAAGTCTAAGGTATTTATTCATGCTTATTCATACTGACGAAAAAGCTCCACGGAATACAAAGAAAAAAGTTAAAGAAACGTCGGTAGAAACCTGTGCTCTACACTCCTGAATTTGACATTGATAATAGAATCTCCTTCTTCGATGATTAATTAGACTCTAATAGTTACAATTTTTGTACTTCATTGTATTTGTATATATATATATATATATATATATAACAGCTGTGTAAAATTGTGTCTTCTTAATTACAAATGTAAATGTCCTGAAAGATATAAAATAGCTGTAATAAAAACATGGTTAACCGAGCGAGAACAGTTTCTTCTTCAAACACATTATTTTACAAACAATTGAGCAACATGAAAAAAAAAACCATCTATCAACAATAATATTTCCAACCACGTCGTTGACAAGCAAATAAATTTAGCTTTAATTTAAAGAAGTTTAGAAACAGTAACACAAACATCTTCATATAAACAAAAATAAAAATATCATTAAGTTAGTCTATTGAGACCAGATGTGCCGTAACTAGAAAGATGAAAAAGTCATAAAAATATAATTTTTCGGTACATAACACTTATTACATGTGTATATATGTGTGTGTGTATATATATATATATATATATATATATATATACACACACACATTTTCAAAGGCTATTATTGTGAATACTCCAATGTGAAGTAGTGGTCCCATTTTTATTTTAAACAATGTATAGTACGTCGATGGGCCTGCGGATTCGATAAATCTCAATAAAAATCCATATTTCAAATGAGTATCGACTATAATAAGTTTTGAAGAAAGTAAGAAAAACGTTGGTTTAATATATATATAGCCATCCACAGACAGAGTGTTTCACTGTACCTCAGCTCTTCAATGTGGCTAGACATCCGATTGTTTCAAACCTGGATCGAACCCCAAGAGATCTGGCATCACTCAGAAATCCTACCCCTAGGCTATCGTTGCACGACAGAAAGAAAAGGAAATTTTAACGTTTTCTATCCGAAATACGCCAGTGGACAGGAGAACTCAATTGGTCGATGAAGTGCAATGCGATATATATTAAGGTTACGTGAATTGAACTCACACACTTTGGGTCCTGTCACTGGATCTAACTAACGCCTTTATCCACTGTGCCATGTGTATTTAGTTAGTTAGTGTGAGTTCAATACCCGGTTAAGGCAGTGGAGAACTTGGAGAGGGTAATTAACAGGAGATAACTGATAACTGACATCCATTAAACATGGCCCGTGGAACTAGAACAGTCTACCCCGGTGAGCGAAATAAAGGGTTCAGTTCGACATTCTAAACACCGGAGCGTACAACGGCCGAAGCGTTGTAATAAATATGACGACAAAGATGAGGACAATAGTCCGAATAAGGTAACTAGTGTACATAATACCTCATCTCAGAAATATAGACAGATCGTTCATTCAATTAAGAGCCATACGTGACAGATGCTTGGGTGATCATGTATTTTTCGATACATGACTGACGAGGTAGATTTTCCCCGCAGGAGGTTGCCATTTTTTCTGCGGTATACTGGTTGCCAACCAAGGCTAAAAACGCAATCTGTCCTGCTATTCAACTCATATCTGATGGAAGAAGAGATGAATTCATACCCTTCCCAAAGGAATTTGTCTGCAAGGGAAGCAAATTGAAAAATAAAGCTTTTGAAATATTATGATTTTTGGCTTTATGGTACATGGTAAAAATGAATTTTTGAGTTTGAGGTGATCTTTTTCAAGAACTGAAACAAAATACATAACTTTTTCATTCTTTTTGAACAAAAGGTCATCGATTTATGACATAGTAACATGGGGTTACAAAAAAAGGCATAACCCCAATATATATGTGTATCTGTGTGTTTGTGCGTGTGTGTTTATACACACATCCAAACACACATCAAATATATATATAGTAAAATAGTAAACAATATAAAAAATATACTTAGTTTTTGGCTGTTTCCGTAACTAAAGTTTCATATATATATATATATATATATATATATATATATATTTTTATAAAATGTGGTTTTTAAAATTTTCGTTGAGGATAAAACGGGACCCAACACCTTGATTCAACTTAATTTTAATAATTATATTGATGGTTTCGGCTCTCGTTTTTGAAAACATGAGAACTCTTATGTAGTGAAAAAATCATATTTTTTTAAAATATTATAATAAAAGCTCTACTTATGTATGGAGCATATATATATATATATATATATATATATATATATATATATATATATATAGTAGTATGGGATTGGTGTATACGGAATAAATTTCAATAATAATATTCTTAAAAGAGTGCTCAATACAGAGTAGAGCAAATATAATTATTCGAAAATTATAACATGAATATGTTATAAAATAACTACAAAGTTAGCCATTTTGTTTCAGCACTTCTGGTGTCTTATCAAGGGATGGTGTTTTAAAGTTTTAATTTTATAACATACTTATGTTATAATTTTCGAATAATTATATATATATATATATATATATATATATATATATAATAATTTTTTTATTTAAAAATTTGATTCCTTCGCTACATAAGAGTTCTCATGTCTAAAAAATGTATAGTTAGACAGCAAGAATAATCATCCAAAATTAATAAAGTTTGAGCGCAATTCTTAACACATTATTCGAAGATTAGAAAAATATAATAAAAAATTAAACCTGTTTGGATACAACAGTATATATCTAGAAAACCGGAAGTCAAAATAACTACAATTGAAAGAAAAGAGAAAAGAAGAATAGCTATAAAAAAAAAAAAAGGAGAACAATAAGGAGTGTGTGTAGAGTGAAAAAAAAAACGGCGTAAAGGGCAAATAGCCACGGTATTCTATACATAAGCACATATGCGCAGACAGTTGCATAGGCGCACGAGCGAATGCACACGCGCTCACAACAATATAAAAAAAAACACTTGCACCAATGGAAAGTGCATATAAAAAATCGATACTGAATTGCTGATATCCCCTGACGAGTTGACGGAGTAATTCACGGACGATCTAGAGAGAAAGAGAGAGAGGGAGGAGGATGAGAGAGAAGGGAGATTTTACAGAGAAAGAAGAGAGGGGGAGATAGAGATAGAGAGGGAAGGAGGGAGAGAGAGAGGAGAGAGAGAGGGGGAGAGAGAGGGGGAGAGAGAGAGAGGTGGCTTCGTTTCATTAAATTTCGTATCCTATATCGTATCCATCTGTTTGAAGAACTGGGTACTTACATTCTATTATTTATCTATTTATCTATCTATTTTTCTCTGTCTCTCTCCTTCTTCCTCTCTCTCCCCGCCTCTCTCTCTCTGTATATATATATATATATATATATATATATATATATATATATATATATATATATATCATTTTAATTTAGATATAACTAAAATATATATCATAGAAAGGACAATATGAATTAAAACAAAAGGGAAACTTATCTTAGCCGAAGTGTTTTGTCCTCAGATGGAATTGATCAAAGCAAATTTACATTGGCAAACTCCATTAGAGGATGAAATGTACAGGCTAAGTTTTCCTTTTGTCTTCCCATACACACACATATATATAGTCTAAATTTTGATTTGTTTATCGGGGGTGCAGAAATAGGTCGTATATACATATATAGAGGCAGTGTCGTCATAGGTATCAACATTGCACGATGACAGTCAGTTTCACACCTCGGTACCAGTTCAACGTAAAAGCACGCTAACACAGTTCACCGTTACTCATTAGGATGTGCCAGTATGATCGCTGTTTCTTCAAATTGCATTACACTGTGAAAAATATGCATATTGATATTTTCCCCTCCCCCTCTCGCCATATGTACTATTTTCAAATATGTTTCTTCTTAGCAAGGCTTGAAGCAGAACAATAAATTTAATTGACTGCATCTCATTATTTCGCTCTTCATATTGAATAATGTATTTTGGTCTTTGTACGTTGCGATAGTGAATATTTCTTTCTGGAATAATTTGCAATTATTTTATTCCGCTTTGTATTTCAAATGTCTTTTAATACCATCCAATCAATTGCGGGAAAGACTTTATTCTTTTCGTTCTTTTTTTCAGGTTCCATGCCTATTTCGAATAGGCAGCGTGGTTTTAATATCAAATATTTAATAATTAAAATTCTAATTTAATTTTTGAATAGGCAGGGATATTTTAATATTTATATGTCTCTACTGACAGTTCGTAGTTATGAAATCGCTGCTTGAAAGATCTCTCCGCTGAACCAAATATAGATCGCCTTATAAACAACATTATTTATTAAACAGTTTTCATTGAGAGGGCATAAATATGGATTTGAGCAATTACATATTGCATACTGGATTCTTGGTTTCGAATCTTCTAATTCTTCTTTATCATTCGCTTTCTCTTCTTCGTCTTCTTCTTCTTCTTTTTCTTCTTTTATTATTATTATTATTATTATTATTACTATTTTTCTATGAATAGATTGCCTATGCATAGTATGCAACTATCTTAAAAGCAACAACAAGAGTAACGAGCTTAGTTCTTGAAGTCACTATGTCTTGGTTATTTCATTTGAGCAAACGATGTTGAAGCTGTCTATTTTATTCAATGATTACCATTTGTACTGATGACGCAGTTAGTTTTAATCTTGTTTGTGTTGATCGTGAAGATGATGGTACCTGACTATTTGGCCACCTATCGCAGAGGGTTGACGACTATTATCATGCCCGTCTCGCAGATCACTTCGCTGTGATAATAGGTTCGAAAATCAACGGCTGCCCCTCCAAATGTGTTAAGAAGATCAGAGTGCGTAAATTTGATGAGATATATTCCTACGCCAGATGTTTCTTCCCACTCGCGTGTCAGTCCTTTCACCTTACAGGCCCATCGGATATTATCTTCCTAAGGATCTCTCATTTTCACAATGCCTATTATGTCTTTTTAATTTACTGTCCAGACAACTAAATCAGTATGATTTTCCCAGAAAGCGATTTCAGCTGTAGATACAACGCACAAACACATCCACACACACACACACACACACACACACACACACATATATATATATATATATATATATATATATATATATATATATATATATATATATTGTTTTTATAGATACAAATATTTAAGTAAATGCTCTGATTATAATAAACAGTATTAACAGCATTTACCGGTCTGGATGTCCGAGAAATCTCATAGAAAATATGTGGCCTCAGATAGGAATCGAACCTGTATCCTATACGGAACCGTCACATAGCCAGAAGTGCTATACCATTTAGCTACAGAGGAATTAAAATAATTTTCGGACAGTCCATTTCATAATATATGACTTCATTTGTTTACGTTAAGATACGCTTCGAGTAGATATGAGCGTTCGAGAGAAATTGTAGTTTGACAGCAGTAATTCGACCCTGTTAAGCATATGCTATCAGGCTATATGACAGTTTCGTGTAGGATACAGGTTCGATTCCTGTCGGAGGACACATATCATTCAGGCTGGTAAATGTTGTTAATGCTGTTTATTATAAACATAGCATTTATTTAAATATTTGCATCTATAAAAATAACGTATGAACAATAAATATATTAATATAATTGTCAGACTTGGTCCATTTCATTATATATATATATATATATATATATATATATATAGAGAGAGAGAGAGAGAGAGAGACAGAGAGACAGAGAGAGAGACAGAGACAGACAGACAGACAGAAAGAAACAGAGAGGGAGTTAGGATCAAATATGGATCGGAATCCGACAAAATGATAAGTTAAAGGAAATACGAGAAATATGAAACGTATATCAATCTAACATGTTTCACTTTTATTAAAGCTTCGTCAGAGAAAAAGAAATACTGGTGTATTTTTTATGTGCTGTATTTACAGATTCAGTAGCCTTAAAAAACGTTTTAACAGTCTAATCATGATGGTAATTGATGGTACCTGAAAATAAATGGTAAGGCATTAGCTAGATGAAGACATCATTAACACTTGCCGAAGTTCACTTGTCCCACACAGGTGACAGTTTAAAACTTGGGAGGTATTTCTGTCGCACCTAATATATGCGTCTGAGAGTGCGTGTGTGTATAATCATATATGTATTATATATTACGTATATATGTATGTATATATACATATATATGTATGTATATAGACATATATATGTATGTTATATATATATAAATGTATGTATATATACATATATAAGTGAACAGTTATACAAAGCTGTAACATATAGTACTCTCTCTCTCTCTCTCTCTCTCTCTCTCTCTCTCTCTCTCTTTTAGTATTTTGGGCTGCTTAATTTTGTGAAGTGGGTCAAGCCGAGTAATTTTCAGCATCACTTGCACACATAAACGCACAGACACGAACACACACCCACACACACGCACACACAGACATGTATATGTGTGTGGGGGTCGTGAAAAAACTGTAAAAATTTTATCGTTCTTAGTGTCGATATGCGTGACAAACAGACTTTTTTTTTCAGTTCGTAAAGGCCAATCGTTGTTGAAGACGACCATTTGGTTGAGTGCCTGCTATTTATACTGATGGCAATGCAGTTAATGTCTGTCGCGTTGACAGCGAAAAGATAATGGTTAAAGTGATGAGAGACAAAAAAATAAAAATCCCAATGATGTTGACTTTTCTGTTGTTATCATCCTTGACGAGGGACGCTGACCCCGGTCAGGTGATGAATGATTAAGTTTACACACTTGGACATTAGGGCGAAAAAAGCTTACCAACTTCCACATGATCTGTAAATTTCTCTTTCATTCACTTGCCTTTATTTCCCCAGTTTTCATTGAATTCTTATTGTGTTCATCTTCACTTCCTCTTGAAGTATTAGTCTCTTTCTTTCTTTTTCCTTCTTTTTTCTTTCTTTCTTTCTTTTTTTCTTTCTTCTAAAATTGTTCAATCTTTTTTAGTCTTGTTTTTTTTTCTCTTTTTTCTTGTCATCTTCATTTTAATTTTTCTCAGATTTTTCTTTCTTAGCCCTACCTTTTTTCTTACATTCTTTTTCATCAGTTTTCTTCTTCCTTCTTTCTTTCTTAGCATTGTTCTTTCTTTCTTTCTTTCTTTCTTCTTAAATTTGTTCTTCTCTCTTCTTAATCTTGTCCTTTCTTTCTCTTTTCTTTTTTCCTTTCTTTTTCTTTTAATATTTTTCATAATTTTTCTTGTTCCTCCTTGACTTTCTTAGTCATGACTTTCTTTCTTTCGCCTCAGGCTTCTTTTTTTCCATCTTTTCTTTATTATTCTTTCTTTCTTTCATCTCAAACTTGTTCTTTCTTAGTTTTGTTCTTTTTTACCTTTTCCTTTTCTTCTTCGTTTTAATTTTTCTCAGATTTTTTCCTTTTCTTTTTTAGTCCTAACTTTTCCTTACTTCCTTTTTCCTGCAGTTTTCTTCTTCCTTCTTTCTTTCTTTCTTTCTTTCTTCCTTTCTTTCTTTCTTGTCAAACATGTTTTCTCTCTATGTTAGGTAGTTATGGCTTTTGAAGTAATCCCTCCCTCCAGTATGGCTCGCTAGTAACTAAAAAATATTTTAAAGACATTTTGAAATGAGACAGGGAAAAAGGAAAAACTGAATTCAGAGCCTTTCTCTACAGTTGTGAAGTGAATACAGCAGCCCGAGTCAAAATTCGATCTCGGTTCGCCGTTAGCATTTGAAACTGTTACGCTGCCGTGCATCTTATACTATGGTCAGTTAATTTTATAAGTATTAGGCAGATTTCATAGCTGTTCCGTTCTAAGTATTTTACAAGCCTAGTGAAAAATCTTTAGAGTTATTCATATTTTTTTACTTTTATTTATTTATTTTACTATATAAAGTATCTTTGATACAAAAGAAATATTTTATGGAGTTACTTTTTACTGTCATATAATTTGTGCTTTCGGGAGGAGTGTGGCACCCTGCATTATTAGAAAGACTAAAAAGAGATATTCATAGAAATATGATTTAATTTTTATTCAGTTTATTAACCAGTTGTTAGTTATTTAGACGAAGAATAATTGAGTTTTGAGAATAATTCTCTAATTGTATTTAGGCGATCCGAAGGGAAGAAGAAAAAAAAAAAAAAAAGAAAAGAAAAAAAAAAAGAAGAAATAGATAATACAAAACCCGGTCATAGGCAAAAACAGGTGTCAAGAGATATCTAGGCCAACGCGCCTGACCGAATTTCACGAACAATAGAAATTGTTAT